TTTCTTTTTGCTTATGTGGTGCTGAGGAATCGAACCCAGGGCCTCGAGCATGCAAGGCAAGTGCTCTACCACTGAGCCACCTTCCCAGCCCCTCAAGTCAAAGTTTTAAAAAGTCCTCCCTATGCTGGGTACAGGGGGCTCACGCCTGTAATCCTAGCTACTCCGGAGGCTGAGATCTGAGGCTCATGGTTCAAAACCAGCCCAGGCAGGAAAGTCCATGAGACTCTTCTCTCCAATAAACCACTAGAAAACCGGAAGTGGTGCTGTGGCTCTGAAAAGCCCAGGGAAAGTGCCCAGGCCCAGAGTTCAAGCCCACAACTGACCAAAAAAAAAAAAAAAAAAAAACTCCTCTCTCTGCTATCACTAGGGTAACCTGCACTGATTTCTAAGTTTCCTTAAGGAAAAGGACGCCTAGTGTCTTTGCCCAAAACCCCAGAGGCTGCTGAATGGAGTTCATGGATTGAACATCCTTCTCCGGCAAGACTTGGGGTGAGGAAAATTCCTCAGGAAGCCAAACCAGGCAGGAACCCCAAGGCCCAGGGAGGGACCTCCTCTTCCCTAAGCCCCCCACCCAGGATGCTGCCTGCCCTCCCCGCACCCACCCACATACTGCCTGCCCCCCCCACCCCACTCCCCCCCACCCCACTTCCCCCCACCCCTCACCCCCAGATGCTGCCTGCCCTCCCACCACCACTACCTTCTCCCACTTGTTGCGGAGCTCGTCCATGGTGACCGTGCTGTACGGGTTGCTGGAGCTGATCCTGATGCTGTAGCTCTGAATGACCTTCTCCACCTCATTCTGTATGGCCATGATGGACTGCCGCTCGCCATCCGCCTCGGGCAGCGTGGCCTTGAACTGCTCGTGGGCAGTGATGAGACTCTGCACCAAGAACATGCAGAGAAACCTGAGGCGCATGAGCATGAGAGTCATGGGCACTGAGGGCCCCCACACCACACACTGCGCATTGCACGCCACACAGAGGAGTCTAATCGCAGGTAGGCATGAGGGCGGCGGGGGTGGGTGCGGGGGGGGGGGGAGGGAAGTCAGGCAACTTCTGATGGTTCTAGAAAAGCTCTCTGGTGCCTGGAACTCAAGTTCCTTGATGGAGTGAAGAAACCACAAGAACCATGATGTGAGGACCGCCATACAGAGTCGAACAAACAGCGTACATGTCTGCCTCACTGCGTCCAGCGGTGGCTGCGGTGAGGGTCACTTTCTACTGATTATCTGGATGTTAGCTGCTCTCTCTCTGTCTCTCTGTCTCTCTGTCTGTCTGTCTCTCTCTGTTTCTGTCTCTCTCTCTACTGTGTAGCTGAGGCTGGCCTATAGTTCCTATGTTGTGCAGTGGTGCCTTGAACTTGGGATCCTTTTGTCTCCACTTCCTGAGCACCAGTCATGGGGCCTGAACTCGGCCTGAGCACTGTCCCTGAGCTTTTTCACTCAAGCTAGTGCTCTATTACTTTGAGCCACAGCTCCACTTCCAGCTTTTTGGTGGTTAATTGGAGACAAGAATTTTATAGACTTTCCTGCCTGGGCTGGCTTCGAACCGTGATCCTCAAATCTCAGCCTCCTGAGTAGCTAGGATTACAGGCATGACACACAGGCATCCACCTTCATAAACATATTTTTAAGCTAAGGTTCAAAGGCTAATTTTAACTTTGTATTTATACATTCCTAAATGAACATACATATATGTGTATGTACATGTGTATGTGTATGTATGTACACAGGAGTGCATGTATATGTACATATATGTGAGCATATGTTTGTACACGTGTTTCTGCATGTATACACATGTGTTTATGCATATGCATATGTATACAAGTATGGGGTAGGTTGAATGTACACAAGTGTGCATGAATATGTACATGTGTGGTATGTGTATACACATATATGTATATGTGCGTGCGTGTGTATATGTAGTATGTGTTGGTGTGTGCATGCATGTGCACATGTGTATATGTACACCTGTGTGTATGTTCTCAAAGCAAAAAATGAAAGAAATGCGGCAGAGGCAGAGCTCGATGGCACCTGCAGGGCTCTGAGAGGCCCAGTCCAGTACCTGGATCTCCTCGATGCTGTGGACAATGAACATGTCCTGCAGGTCCTCCATCGCTCCCTCCATCCAATTGTTGAAGGGAGCCGCTCTCTTAGCAAACTCCAGGTGCAGCTGATCGATGGTTTCTAGCAATTTCTCCGTTCTCTAAAGGCAAATTAAATGGAAACAAGGGTCATCATACAAGAAACGCATCAAGAACCCCTCCAGTGTGTAGACAACTGTAAATAAATATGCATCCCAGAACAACGTAAGGTATTGGCCCACATTTAGCCACCCAGGGCTAGGAAAGAATAACGCATGCTCTACTCAGCATGCAGCAGCCTGAGGGACCTTCAGCACCAAAGATGCAGCCTCCATCTCCATAGCGCCCAAAGTCCTCTACTACATGCTAGCTTTTGGGAAAAGACTTTTTAAAGTAAAGGACTTGGTTTCCCCCTATACTCAGTACTAAAGTTCCAGTCATCCTCTCTGTCCCCTAAGTCAACTGAACACCCTCTTGAGGACTTTTGGGAACAAATGGGTTTATACCATAATCCGCATGATGGGTTTCAAATGCCAACCTCCCATGGCTGGTGGGCTATCTCTTCTAGGGTTCCATTCATTAGAAAATTGTTCAGTTTTAGAGAGATAGATAATTAAAACCAGTGACTGCATTGGAGAGTCTCTATTTAGATACATCAACAAGTCACTTCAAGGTTTTACAAAAATTCCAGTCAGAGGCTGGTGGCTCATGCCTGTAATCCTAGCTACTCAGAAGGCTGAGATCTGAGGATGGCGGTTCTAAGCCAGCTCTAGCAGAGCAGCCCATTTGACTCTTATCGCTTATTAATCAGCAAAAAACACAAGTGGAGGTGTGGCTCAAATGGTAGAGTGCCAGCCTTGAGAGAAAAAGCCAAGTGAAAAGCACAAAGGCCCTGAGTATCAAGCCCTTTGTATTAACAAGAAATATAACGAGTTAATAAATGCTTAAAAAGCCTTGCCTCCAAGGCCTCCCTCCGCTTCTGCGTGAGCGTCCCCAGCCTGTCCCACTGGTCGCAAATCTTCTGGCATCGGTCATTGACATTCACGGCATCATGGTAATCCAGCTCGCTGTGAAAAGCAACAACCAAGATGAGCCTTCCCAGGCTGTGGGGGTGTGGACAGCCACGCCACGAGGCTTCTAGAAAGGAAAGGCTTCTAGAAAGGAATGACACGAGGAGGAGCGCGGGCAGCTTCCTCCAGGGGCTTGGCAGCCCCACCATTATGCAAACGGTTCCAGGATCATAAGGAGCATTACCCAACCCCAGGCTGGCCGAGGGGTTTCTACCCAGTCCCGCCCCCAGCTAGCTCTCTTCTCTGCCAGGCACCCTGAAAGCGAGATCCTTTAATAGATAATTAACTTACTTTATTGCTATGACACAGGTGATGCGCAGAGGCGTACAATGACGTGAGTCAGGTCATGAGTGTGTTTCCTTGTGTACAGCATCTTCGGTCCCCTCCCTCTCTCCCAGTCCCTCTCTCCTGTCTCTACCCACGGGCTGTAGAGTTCACGTTCATCCATGCCCAGAGAGCTCCTGCGCTTGTCACCCCTTTTCCCTCCAGTTCTGTGCCCTCTCCTCCCCACCTCCTGAAGACAGACACTTGAAGACACCATACATAAAGAAGACAGAATCATCCAAATATAAATATAAAAGAAAAAGAAAGAAAAAAGAGGTCTCTCGTTTGTATATTTTGGAGTTCATTTATGTGTGTGTGTGTGTATATATATATGTGTGTGTGTGTGTGTGTGTCTATAGCTATAGATATAACTTTATACAAATGTGAAAAGGCACACAGGCATTGTGCCATTGTGTGGTCTCACTGTGAGTATCTAGAATCCTATACAATTTATCACACACCAGTACAGTTCAGATCTAATTTCCTCATGTCAGAGAGAACAAGCGCTGTGAAAGCGAGATTGCTAAATGGAAACTAAATGAAGGCAGCTCTTCGAGCCAAGGCTGTGGCCATAGGGCCTCAACTTCCTCAGGCATCATGGGAGGTGTGGGCTTGTGCACACAGTGACCTTGGCATCTCTTGAAGAGCACACAAGCTCCCCAGGGAGCAGCACCCACCCAGGAAGCCCCAGGACCTCACAGAGAACGCAGCTCTCCCACCGGGGGACAGCAAGGCTCTGCCTTGTCTTATGCCACTTGTGTGACAGAAACAACACAATGCAACAAGGCACAGTGGCCTGCGCCTGTCATCCTAGCCAACTCTGGAGCTGGAGAAGATCACAGCTCAATGCCAGCCAGGCATGAAAACTTGAGAGATCCCATCTAAATCAATAAAAGCTGGGTGCAGTGTTACCTGCCCTGTCTTTCCAACTACGTGGTCAGTGTATATAGGAAGATTGCTATACAGGTCTTCCACAGCAAAAATCAAGGCTCCATCTCACAGATAATGAAAGAATAAAAAGCATGACTCGAGTGGTAGAGTACCTGCCCTGTAACACCATTGTTAAATGCTTTTTTTTTTCTTCATATCAAACTTCTTATGAAAGCAATGCCTGACTAGAAGATTACCTACTATCTCAGAGACAAGATGTGTGGATCTTAAGCTGGGCACCGTTGGCTCACACCTTGTAATCCTAGCTATTCAGGAGACTAAGATCCAGAGGATCAGGGTTCAAAGGCCAGCAGGGGGCAGAAAAGTCCAAGAAACCCCACCTCCAAAATAACCAGCCAAAAAAAAAGCCAGGCTGGAGGAGTGGCTCAAGTGGTAGAGCATCAACCCATCAACAATGTCAGGCAAGCATGGGGACCCTACGTTCAAGCCCCGATACTTACAAGAAGAATGACAAAAAGTTTAAACCCTGCACAAAAACCCAATCACTCCACTGAGAAGAAAGCAAGAACCATGGAGATGTACAGGCGTTTTCTGGAGAGTTCTTTTTTTTTTCTTTCTTTTCTTTTTCTTTTTTGTCGGTTGTGGGGCTTGAACTCTGGGCCTGGGCGCTGTCCCTCAGCTCTTCAGCTCAAGGTGAGCGCTCTACCACTTGAGCCACAGCGCCACTTCCAGTTTCCTGGTTGTTTATTGGAGATAAGAGTTTCACAGACTTTCCTGCCCGGGCTGGCTTTGAACCTCAATCCTCAAATCTCAGCCTCCTAAGTAGCTAGGATTACAGGCATGAGCCACTGGCGCCAAGCAGAAGAGTTCTTTAAAAAGCAGCCTGGAAGAGCCAGCTCTAGGGAAGTTCTACCCTCTGACCAACCATTCATTCCTCTGAGGCTTAAGTTTCTCTCTTGTGTCAACACTCAGAAAAGCTAGCACTGTCCCTGCGGTCCCTTCCCCTGGGATAATACAGATGTGATACTTGCTGGCTGACATTTTGTGTTACCGAACAGAGAAGATGCAGGGTTGCTATATGCACATACTATGTGCTCTGCCGTGTTCTTCTAGAACATTCTGATAGCACCTGAGATGCCTGCCACCTCATTAAAGCCTGTTGGGTGCTCAGGAGCAATTGCCACTGTCAAGGATGACAAAGACGTTTAGGCCTATTTGTTATCAGCATACCACCCGAGCCGAGCTCTGCATAGCCCACCCTCAGTCACAGTCACACCCCAGCACCCGCCCATACTTGAGCTCCTGGGCGATGGCAGCAATCTGCTCCACGCGGTCCTGATGGGCCGCCAGGTCGCTCTCAAAGGCTTCGTGCTTCCGCAGCAGCGCCCGCACCTCGGTCAGCGACGCTGACTCATAGTCCTTCTGCAGTAAGATCTGCTCTTTGCCTGCAAAGAGGGAGCATGAACCCCTCTGCGCCGCCCGTCATGCCGCCCTGCTGCCCTGCCACCCAGCAGTACCCCTCGCCAGCCACGCCCTCAGGGGGTAAGGCAGGCCCAGAACCCCAGGACTGAAGGAGAAGGTCAGTGTGGGATTCGGGCTATGGTCATCCTCAATCAACATCCAGCCAACCTAGGGGCGCTGGAAGCATGTGTGGGCATCGTATAGCATGCTACGGAACACCTATCTGCTCTTCTAGCATGACGCTTAGTTAAGTTAGAAATCAACAGTTCCCATGAGCCACTGGGATAGATGAACAAAGCCTTTGTGCTCAGCCAGTTGTGGTGGTACATGTCTGTAATCCCAGCACTCAGAAGGCAGAAGCAGGAAGATCATGAGTTCAAGGCCAGCCTAGGCTACATAGTGGGAACCTGTCTCATTAAAACAAAATGAAAGTTTCTCAGGAGACTGAGATCTGAGGATAGCAGTTTGAAGCCAGCCTAGGGAAGGAAAATCTATGAGACTCATCTCCAATTAACCAGCAAAAAAGCCAGAAGTGGCGCCATAGCTCAAGTGGTAGAGTGCTAGCCTTGAGCAAAATAAACTCAAAGACAGTGCCCAGGCCCTGAGTTCAAGCCCAGGACCAACATACACATAGAAAGAAAGAATGAGACAGAGAAAGAAAGAGGGAAAGAGAAAAAAGAGGGAAAGAGAGAAAGAAAGGAAAAAAGAGAGGAAGGGAGGGAAAGGAAAGGGAAAAGAAAAAGAAAGAAGAAAGGAAGAGGGGGAGAAAGAGAGAGGAGGGATGGGGCTGGGAAGTTGGCCCAGTGGTAGAGCGCTTGCCTTGCATGCCTGAGGCCCTGGGTTCGATTCCTCAGCATCACATAAGCAAAAAGAAAAAAGCCGGAAGTGGCGCTGTGGCTCAAGTGGTAGAGCGCTAGCCTTGAGCTGAAGAGCTGAGGGACAGCGCCCAGGCCCAGAGTTCAGGCCCCACGACCGGACAAAAAAAAAGAGAGAGAGAGAGGAGGGAGAGGGAGGGTGGGAAAGGAAAGAAGGAAGGAAGGGAGGGAGGGAGACAGGGAGGAAGCAGGTAGGCGGGCAGGCAATAATGACACTACACTGCTCTCCTCTGCGGGTTCTGTAGAACTCAGTTGTGCTTTCGGTAAGCCGGAAGCCAGGTGCAGGCGCTCACCATAAGCCCAGGTCTCGTGCGTGGAGGCCTTCTGCCTGAACTTCTCGGCCAGGTGTTCCAAGCGCTCCAACCTCCGAATCTCGTTGAGCAGCCACTCCTCATAGCCCTTCTCAGCCTGCTCCAGCCTCTGCCAGGCACCTGCGATGTCCTGGGGTGCCCAGACACGACACTTCCTTACACTGAGAATTCGCTCCTCTGTGAACCCCCAATATGGGGCTGATTGACTTGTCTTGCTTCCTTCCTTTGCCTTCCCCCTCCCTCCATTAGCCACCTTGGTTTCCAAAAGTCTTAATTATCACTGGGATCTCGTGAATCTGCTCTCTCAGCAGATGTGTACGAAGATGTACACAGTTTACATTTTCTACTCAAGAGCAGCTGGGCGCCGGTGGCTCATGCCTATAATCCTAGCTACTCAGGAGGCTGAGATCTGAGGATCACGGTTCAAAGCCAGCCTGGACAGGAAAGTCCATGAAACTCTTATCTCCAATAAACCACTAGAAAACCAGAAGTGGCACTGTGGCTCAAGCGGTAGAGCGCTTGCCTTGAGCTGAAGAGCACAAGGACAGTGCCCAAGCCCAGAGTTCAAACCCCACAACTGACCAAAAAAAAAAAAAAAAACATCCAGGCATAGTGATGCATGCCTGTAATCCCAGCACTAGAGAGGCTGAGGAAAGATGATCTTGAGTTCAAGGTCAGCCTGGCTTGGATAGTGAGACCATGTCTCAAAAAACAAGACAAGCCAGGTGCCGGTGGCTCATACTTGTAATCCTAGCTGCTCAAAGGCTGAGAGCAGAAGATAAAGGTTCAAAGCCAGCCTGAACAGGAAAGTCTGTGAGACTTTTATCTCTAATAAATCACTAAAAAAAAAAAAAAGCAGAGGGCAGAAGTGAAGCTGTGGCTCAAGTGGTAGAGCACTACCTTTGAGCAAAAACGCACAGAGACAGCATTCAGGCCCTGAGTTCCTGCCCCAGGATTAGCACAAAACAAAACCCTGAAGTCAGGCACTGGTGGCTCACACCTGTAATCTCAGGAGGCTGAGATCTGAGGATTGCAGTTTGAAGTCAGCCCAGGCAGAAAGCCCCCAGGAGACTTTTATCTCCAATTAGACACTCAAAAAAACCATACATGGAGCTGTGGCACAAAGTGGTAGAGCGTGAAGCCTTGAGCAAAAGAGTTCAGGGACCAGTACCCAGGCCCTGAGTTTAAGCCCCATGGCTAAAACATAAAGTAAAATAAACCTGCCCATTAGTTGCTGGACACCTGTGGCTCATGCCTATAATTCCAACAACTCAGGAGGCTGAGATCTGAGAATCAAAGTTTGGAGCCAGTCCTGGTAGATAAATCTGAGAGACTCTTGTCTCTAATTAGCCAGCAAAAAGTTGGATTGCTAGGCTGGGAAGGTGGCTCAGTGGTAGAGTGCTTGACTTGCATGCCTGAGGCCCTGGGTTCCATTCCTCAGCACCACATAAGAAAAAAGGAAAAAGCCGGAAGTGGTGCTGTGGCTCGAGTGGTAGAGTGCTAGCCTTGAGCTGAAGAGCTGAGGGACAGCGCCCAGGCCCAGAGTTCAGGCCCCATGACCGGACCCAAAAAAAAAGTTGGACTGCTGGCATGCCTCAAGTGGTAGAGCACCAGCTATGATGGAAGGGTTCAAGCCCTACTGCTGGCACACACACACACAAAGAAATGAAAATAACTGATAACTAGGGAGGAGAATATCAGTAATAAATCAGTTCCAAGACCAGCTTTCCTAGAGCTGGTCAAGGCCTCTTAGCCCAGCAGGGGGAGGTGAGGCCCCTGGCCGGGCCCACTCACCGACACCATCTTGCCCTCGGAGGGCATGAAGGCCGGCCGGTTGCTGATGCGCAGCTTGGTCTGCAGCGTGTTGAAGTTGATCTCCAGCTGGCACTTCTCCTGCACCTTGGGCGGCTTGTGCTTGCGCCGGTAGTCCCGGAAGTCCTCCAACTTCTTCTGCATGGCCTGCATCGTCTTCTCCGGCGTCCGGTTCTCCAGCCAGGGGATCGTGCGCCGAATCCACTCCAGAAGCTGTTCCCAAACACAGAGACACTGCTGACCACACCCGCTGCGCTCCTGGGGAAATGCTCAGGCAAATGCTCAGGGGCCTGACCACCTGGAATTGGGAAGCCTAGTGTTCCCCAAATTCCTGTGCCCCACCCCCCCAATCTGGGAGGGGTGCGGCTCTGCGTGGTGGCATGCATGATAGGGTCAGCATCCACCCAGATACCCCCAGGGACTGCCCCAGCAACCCACACAAGGGGAGAGACTTCCGGTCAGCACGTGACGTCATGGCTAACAAAAAAAATGTGACAGCCACAAGAAACTCGGGGAGCAGACATCAGCAGACACATGTTGGAAGGAGCTTTCAAATAAAAACAAAACAAAACAAAAAGTCCCAAAAAACCAAAATCAGAAGAAAAAAATCCAAACCTGCCAGAAAAATATTGTAATAAATTCACTTAAAGAACTAAATTTCACTTAATGGTTTTCTATTGGTGGTGGTGGGACTCAAACTCAGGGCCTGGGCACTGTCCCTAAGGCTCTTTGTGCTCAAGGCAAGCACTCTATCACTTTGAGCCACAGCACCACTTCCAGGTTTTTGAGTGGTTTATTAGAGATAGGATTCTCACGGACTTTCCTGCCTGGGCCGGCTTTGAACCATGATCCTCAGATCTCAGCCTCCTGAGTAGCTAGGATGACAGGTATAAGCCACCAGTGCCCAGCCACTCAATATTTTTTTAATAAAAAAAAGCTCATATCCAATGAGTTTATTCCCTATATAAAGGTACTATAAGTCTCAGACTGGCTCCATACCCAAGCATAAGTTAAATCTAGCTTGTAAGTCATTCCATTAGATAGAAGGTATGGAAATTAACTCCTCAGAGCCCAGCTTTCCCCTTTTCCTGCACAAAGATGCTGGCCCTGGAGATGACCTGCCAGAAGCCTCGTCTTCCCCTGTGCCTGCTGCACTTATAACATGACATCAGCCTAGGGTGCAAACCAGTTCCAGTGGTGTCGGCCCTAGTGTAGGGGTCTCTGGACACTGAATGAAGGACAACGTGGGAAACGGAAGGTGCGTGGCCCAGGCTTACGCCCTGTCCCCGGCCTACCTACTCTTCATTCCTGGAGCTGATTACTTTCAAACAATGCTGTCAACCTGAGTTTTCCCATAGCCATAATGAGGACCAACAAATAAAATAAAAACAAAACCCAAAGCAGCTAGGGCTTTTCCCCACAGCACCAGGATACAAATATCAACTACATTATACTGGGTTACGATCAAATACGACTGGAAGATTCCGTCTGCGTAACTGCATAATTTTCCCAGCGCGGACTAAATATTGGGGACCTTGAATCAGAGTGAGAATCAGAGTGACATTTCTTTGGTGTTGAACCCGCTGATGCTGAGCCTCAGAGGATGTGGCTGTGCTCACGCCAGGCGCCTGGCTGTCACTTGTGCCACCAAAGGCCACGGGAGGAGCAGGGACAGGGCTGTTCTCTAACCACAACTCTGGCTGCAGATCTGTTCAGGGGTGTGCTGCGGTGGGGAGAGGGCTCTGGTCCCCAGCTTCCCCTTTGGGGACACACGCAGACCTAGGCCACGTCCCCTTCGTACGAGGACCTGTGCGAGTGTGGCCAGGCTCCTGGATTTGGCCAACACGAGGCTGTCTAGGGGCGGGGCTTGGATGCAGCAGGCCAACGCCTCAGCACATGCGCGCATGCTCTGCGACTCTGCATCAGAGCAGCGTTGGCACTGCACACTGCTCGCTACCACGGGAGCCAGCGACAGCCCGTGTGGTTCCTGCTTCCCTTCTCTCTGAGATGCAAGATGCAAGCGACACAGGCGGCCCTGGAGAGGGGTGCGGAGCCGGGCGCCCCGATCCTTTACCTCACTTGCTAGCCTCTCGTATTCTTCCATCAGCCTCTCATTCTCTTGATTCACAGCAAGAACCTTACATATCCTGTTAGCTGCTGTCTCAGCCTGCAAAACACAATAGGAGAACAGGATGGCTGGTCCACAGGGAGGAGTCACGCAGCTGGGCATGGGAGGTGGGATGGGGGGACGTCTTCTCAACACGGTCAAGTCATTAGTTTCCACACAGACTCACGTGGCAGGCGGAAGGTACCACAGACATACCGGGACGCAAGCTTTGTAAGACACTGAGCAGGTTAGTGACAAGAATACGGGGTCCCAAAATGCCTGTCTACGCTGAACACCCCTCAACACCGACCCCTGGCCGTGGGGTGGACACTGCCGGAAGGACGCTGGCCTTTGGAAATCAAAGCAGAAATGATTTCATCTTGAACATATGGATCTACTGTGCTTGGATCTACTGAAGACCTACAGAACCTTCTAGATGCCATCGTGTGTGGAGGGGGACCTGCATGTGCCTGGTTCCTTGTGATCTGGGGGTTCATTGTGAAGAGGACAGAACCAGCCACCTGTGCCCCACCAGGCTTCCTGGCTGTGTCCCTCCCACCCCCCCACGCCTTGTGTCTGAAGTCACCGTCACTGTCCAGAATGTTCTGGGGAGGTTGTGGCATTGTTTAAACCCTTCCTCTATTTTACCCAGAGTAAGACTGTTCTGGAAATATGTCAGGACAAGTGATTGCACAGAGAAGGCGCGTTGCAGGCCGCTGACAGCAGACTGGACGCAGGGAAGGCAGTCGTACTCCTCCTCACACTTCCCCTGCCGCCCCAGGATGATGGCTCAATCTTCAGGGCAATAACTCCCCCCCACTCAAAGTACAAATCTAGCCCATGATTTTCCAATAAAAGAAAGGGGGGGGGAAACGGTAACAGCGCTTCCGGAACTACCTAAAGCGACGGCTATTTTTTTAATCCCGCCCCATGTGGAAGTTGCTGTATTACATGGTTATAACACACTTAGGGAATAAGGTAGGATGTAAAGCGCGCGCACGCACACACCCGGGTACACACACGGCACACAGAGGATGGGTGTGGGCAGCGGTGCACACGTGTTGAATACCTGCTCCGCTCCCGCGAAAGCATGGTAGAAGCAGGAAACGTAAGTCATGATGGCTCTTTCGTCAGGTTTAGGAGTATTCACAATGTCTGAGGGGGAGAAAATAACACAGGACACGCAACACACACACACACACACACACACACACACACACACACAGGAGAAACCAAGGTGAAGGAAGGAAAGACAAGTTGTTCACACCGACCACTTCCCGCGGCTCACAGGCCGGTGACTGTGATCCTCGGGAAGGCTGGACAGCACTGAGATGCTTTGGGAGCAGGATTTCTAGAGGTGCCCACCGAGGCAGGGCCCTTCTCCCCTGTGGGGCTGATGAGAGCGCCTGGCTGTGGCCGCCGTGTGGGTTCCTCACACCCCTCTCTTCCTCTTCTTCTCACAGGGGTGCTGGGGACCTGCCTGGCTGCCTCCGCGCATGATTTACCTAGCGTGCCACCTATGGAAAGCACCAAGGGTCACAAAGCACCAGGGGGAGGGGACTACACTACTGTGACCTGTCACCATGGACGTAGGCTGCTGATAAAACCAGTTGGAAGAGAGAAAGGGAAGCACATGAGCACACAGCCTTTGCTGCCTCTATCTGGGCAATGCCCACATTCACCACACGAGCCATACCCTGCCATTCATCCCCTGCAGCGAGACCTCATCATGGAGTCTGTGGGGGCCATCCACAGAAAGAACCTTCTAGAAGACAAACACAAATGGAATGCCAATGCCTGACAGAACATCTCAAAGAAAAGTAGACTTAAAAGAAAAATAAAAGACACAGGGCCACCTGCTCAGACCCGCATGATGCCCTCCTCGGAGGAGGAGAGACGGGGGAAAGAAAGGAACGACAGAAAAATCATCGAAGACAGAAGGCGAGGCTGAGTGGTGAGCGGTGGCTCTGTCCTCACCTTCTGGGCACCCGCAAAAGCATGATAGTAACAGGACACATAGGTCATGAGGGCGCGTTCATCGGGTCTGGCAGTGTACACTAAATCTGTGTGGAGAAAAGAAGGTTAACTACTGGATGCTCAAACACCGCACGCTCTGGGGAGAAAGCTCGCTGAAGTCAGGGCCGGCACCCCCCAAACACACACCACACACACACACACACACACACACACACACAGCTGACTGCTTAAACCTCAGCTCAGGTCCAAGTCATTACTTCCAAGTACTTCTGCAGACTACCCCGGGGGGGAGGGGGCGATAGGAAGGAGTTATCCAAGGAAAAGGCATAGATGGTCCAGAAGAGACCAGACTCTAAGAACATATGTGCATGGCCAGAATGAGGCTTCCAGGATTCGAGTATATGGTCTTTCTATCACGAGATGCCAGAAATCTCTATGCGAGTCTACCCATAGAGCTAGCCCCCGGGCCAGCGCCCACAGCTGCACACACAGCTGGAGGGAACAGCAGCGGCTGCACGGCCCTCCACAAGGCTGGTGGCCAGCGAGGTTGAAAAGCAGGCCACCAGCTTCCCTCAGCACAGCCCGCCACGGGGACGGGGTTGATCAGATGCTTGCAAATGCCCACCTGGGGCCAGAGGCCAACACAAAGCACAAGTGGAGAGGTCAGCGGCAGCAGGGGAGAGGCCAGGCTTCGCTGGGAGCACAGCTGGACGGACAGCATGGTGAAAGAACCCAGACAGAAGGTGGGCTCCCGGAACAGGGTAGAAGTGTAGGGTGCCGAGGTGACTGAGCACAGCATGGCCGTCCCGGGAGGCCATGTGCATGGCTGTCCGCCAGCTGTCTACCAGAGATGACTCCACAGAGTAATAACCCATCTGCATACAGGCATCTGAACCACTAGAGAGGGAAGACGCAGAGGGGGAATGGAGGACAAGGGGGAGAAAAAGACAATGGTACCAATGCCCTGTCAGCTACCAAGGACAAGTGGATGGACGTCCATCCAACCCAGGACTCAGAAAGGCAAGAAAGTGGGAATGGCTGAGATGTGAGTCTTGAGCTACTGATAATCAGGGGGATGAGGGATTGTTCAGAAATGAAACTCACGCTCCATGTGGGGGATGAGAGAGGCATCAATGAGCTGAAAGATGAATTCACAAATTCATCCCGGATACTCATTCAAGAACGCTGTGTCATCAAGGGTCAAATGAAAAGGACGGTGACAAATACCAACTCAGGTGGGAGAGACCCGATGGGGAAGATTTTCTACACTTTTACTTCATTACTCTTATCGAGTGTTTCTCCAGAGATCTGGAAAAGCTGTACATAAAATTCTGATAGTATGTTCAAGGGTTAGCGCACCAACAGGTGTTTGGTGGGGGGGGATAATAGGTGTGTCCATCAAGGATTGCTATTAGGGGTTGAATGGTGGTGCCTATCCCAAGATGAGCTGAAATCTTAGCCTCCATGTGTCCATCAGGAGAGTAAAGATGCCCAAAGACAGACCAGAGAAGTATTGGTGAAGATAAAGCCATGGATGGGGGGATGCTGCCACAAGCCAAGGAGTGCTGGGAATCCTGGAGGCAGGCAGGGTCTCCCCCAGAGCGCTCAGCCCATGCTGGCACTTGGAGTTCAGATGCAAGAGACCCCTCCAGAGCTATGTGGGAAAGCAATCTCTGTCTTATTCAAGTCTCCTATTTGCCCTCTCAGAACCATGGAAATGAGGAGAAATGGAGGATCCATGATTACTATTAACTGTCATCGAGTTCTTTCCCCAGTGATGCCAACTACTGAAAGCAACAGATCACTAGTGAATAACAAAAAGTAAAAACAAACAAACAAACAAAGGTAGAAGAAGTAATACTTTCATTAATTCCTATAGAACCCAGCAAAGCAGCTCGCTCAGAGCAAGTGTTCAATGTCCATTAGCATATAAATGGATCCAAGATATGAAGTCAATGGTTTCCCTGCACCTGTGTGTTAAATGGTCCACCATAGGTACAACTCACATGAACTTGCCATATAAAAAGCTGGTGCCATATAAAAACTGGTGGCTCACGCCTATAATCCTAGCTAATCAGGAGGCTGAGATCTCAGAATGAAGGTTGAAGCCAGCCTGGACAGGAAAGTCCATAAGGCTCTTATTTCTAATCACCAAAAAGCTAATGACAGAGGTATGGCTCAAATGGTAGAGGTATCAGCCTTGAGTGAGAAAAAGCAGACAGACAGTGCCCAGGCCCTGAGTTCAAGCCCAATAATGGCACAGAGAGAGACAGAGACAGAGAGAGAGACAGACAGAGAGAGAGAAAGGGAGAGAGAGAGATCCTCAAAATGACTACTGCCAGAGTATAGGAGAGGCCTTCAGATCTATCTCAACTCAATTCAATTGAGACTAATTAAAAATACAAATGTGTAGATGGTATGCTGTTGGCTCCATATTTTAAATTTAATTTGATAACTTCTAAGGGACTTTTTCCCCTTTAAGTATGTCCTTTAAGGATGTTTACATACTAAACTTGTCTCTATGTAGTGAAGAAAAATACAGTATGTTGCTGAATAAAAGAAACACATAATTTTAATATTATAAACCGAAGTATCCTGCTTCTTAGCTGAAGCTGAGCTTTTCACAATATAGCTTTGCTGTGTTGAGTAAAAACTGAAATATGTATGTATGTATATACATATATATATATATAATGTGTGAATAAGCTACACCTAAAACTCTAGTACTTGTGTGCCGGGGGACAGAATATGTTTGGAAGCATAAATCCTTCCGCCGTAGCTCAGCTACAGAGGGTCCTGGAGTCCCCAGAGAGCTGGCCGTCCCAAGCACTGCCATGACTAACGTAGGGACAGCAGTGACAGTCTCACCTTCAGCATCCAGCATTTTGGGAATGTCCAAGTGCTTCTCTGCGATCTCCATGGCCAGGTTGATGTTTCCTATGGGGTCATCCTGAATGGAGAACAACACAACCCAGCTTTAAGGAGGCTCAGACAAGACTCGTGACTGGTGCTCTCATGCAGACACCCTCCCACCCCCAGGCGCCACAATCCCCCAATTCCTCATCTTCTCATCGTCCAATCACTCCCAACATTCTGAATACCAGAAACCACACAGCCATGCAGCCCCGCTGCACACATGTGTGCACACATCTATTTTGTGGAGGCACAAGGGCCATCGGCATCTTCCTCCCAGATGTGGAAAGTAGAGGGGAAGGGAAGGTTTACTCCACTCGTGTGTTTTAAGCAGGGGAAAGCTTAGGGGATGGAGCCATGAAGGGAAGGGGAAGTAGGTGCAGTTCACTGAAGATACCCCAAGGGGGCGACAAAAAGCAAAACTGTGAGGTTAAAGGCTAGGAAAGAGTGTGGGAACCTTCACGTTTGAAGTGACGTGTTTCTGAGGACTCATTTACTTTCCTCTATAAAAGTGGTTTCATGTATATATAACCAGTTTAGATCATAAAATTAACCAGAATTGGATAGAACTGAAATACTGTTATAACTGAAATGGATGAGGCTAAGAACAAAATCTCAAACTGACAAGAGACATTGATCCAGGAGCAGCTTTCATCAATTTTATGGGCAAAGTCATCTGAAGAGTTTAGAACCCAGGATGCCATGCCTCGTCACTTAACATAGTGGGAGGTGCAGGCTGCAAAGCCACAATGGCTTCCTCCAGAGAAACCAAAGATGTCTCCCCCATGTCCTGTGAAGAGCCCAATACTGCTTCCTGGCCTCTCAGACCACGCCTCCAGCCTGGTTTCATCATTTGCCATTGCAATAAAGAGTCATAGGGAAAATGTACGTTGTCCACATGGTGTGTGTGCGCGTGTGCACACCATTATTGAGCTTGAACTCAGGATAAGCACACTCTCCCTTAGTTTTTCACTCAAGGATGTGCTCTAGCACTTGAGCCACCACTTCACTTCCAGCTTTTGGTGGTTAATTAGAGGTATGAGTCTCACAGACTTTCCAGCTTTGGCTGGGTTCAAATCTTGATGCTCAGAGCTCAGCCTCTTGAGTAGCCAGGATGACCGGCATGAGCCATATGTTTAACGTATTTCAAGATGACCGCAGGGTAAGAAAACACACGCACTGAGGCACTGGGAAAGCTGCTTTCTATGACAGGGCGTTGTCTTCACCTCTGAGTGCAAGTTAATCTTACCTGTCCTCAAGATCAATGAAGACAACCAGGATGGTGGTGAAGGTGGGCAAGGGAACCAAAAAGCTGGGAGCAGCCAAAACACGCCCCTTGACTGCCCACACCGCACCGGTGAGGGCAGCATGCAGCAGGCTCGGCCCCCATGCCTCAACCTGACATACATGTGCTCTCCTCAACTGTGACACACACATGCAATATCCGGTGGAGCACACCAGCACCCAGCTGTGGGGGTCCCAGGGGAGACAGGCCAGACTCTCGCCCCAAATCCTCTGCAGCACACAGCACCCACTCAAAGGGCTCTGGTTTCTTTCTGCATCCCTACCCATACTTTAAAACTTCTTGTAAAGAATGAATTGAAAGCTGAGCGCCAATGGCTCACGCCTGTCATCCTAGCTACTCAGGAGGCTGAGATCTGAGGATTGTGGTTGAAAGCCAGCCCAAGCAGGAAAGTCTGTAAGACTCTTATCTCTAGTAAACCACTCAGAAAACTGGAAGTGGCACTGTGGCTCAAGTGGTAGAGTGCTCGCCTTGATCTGAAGAGCTGAGGGACAGTACCCAGGCCAGAATTCAAGCCCCACGACTGACAAAGAAAGAGAGAAAGAGAGAAAGAGAGAAAGAGAGAAAGAGAGGAAGAGAGGAAGAGAAGAAGGAAGGAAGGAAGAAAGGAAGGAAATTCTTTTTTTTTGGGGGGGGGTCTAGTCGTGGGGCCTGAACTCTGGGCCTGGGCGCTGTCCCTCAGCTCTTCAGCTCAAGGCTAGTGCTCTACCACTTGAGCCACAGCACCACTTCCAGCTTTTTTCTTTTTGCTTATGTGGTGCTGACGAATCGAACCCAGGGCCTCATGCATGCAAGGCAAGCGCTCTACCACTGAGCCACCTTCCCAGCCCAGGAAGAAAATTCTTGTAAAGAATAAATTGAAATATTAATTTCAAGACTCAGGTACAGTAACTTTTAGGGTTAAAGGGAAAACTCAACCTTTCAAAGTTCAATTTTCTGAAGAAAAAAAAAAAGACCAAAACAAAAAGTTGTAAAACTTCTAAGGTGACACTAATTCGTGTCAATACTGAAAGTGTTAAGACAGACCACTATGGGAGAGACAAATAGTCAATTCCTCTTTGGGGGTCTTTTGTTTTTGTTTATGTGGTTGAACTCCGGGCCTGGGTGCTGTCCCTGAATCTTTTCTACTCAAGGATAAGATTCAACTATTTGGACCACAGCTCCAGTTCTGGCCTTTTTTTGGAGACAAGAATTTCATGGACTTTCTGGCCCAGGCTGGCTTCAAGCTTTGACCCTCAGATCTCAGCCTCCTGAGTAGCTAGAATCAAGGTAATTAAATTTGAATACTAAATTCTCAATAGAGTTTGGAAATAAATCCTCTAGAAAGTGAAAGAGAAAATTGAAAGGCCTAGAGTATTTGTCAGTACTGCCTGGGGCTTGAACTCAGGACCTTGAATTTGCTCTGCCACTCGAGCCATGACCCCAGCCCAGGCTTGGAGTATTTATGCATCTACCCACTGGAAGATAGAGGCTATACTGCTGATAGCAACACTCCAGGAGTACAAAGTATTGTAGGTAAATATATAAAGCCTTCCTCAGAGGTAAAGCCAAATCACAAAGGAGCAGGACGGGATTTGGTGTCTCCCTTCCCCACCACTCATCCTGGCCACGGGTCAGTGTCTCCCTGACGCTGCCCATCCTCATCCTGGGCAGGCTAGTTTCCCCAGGGCCCCTCAGCCAGGCCCGGGGGCGTGGATAGTACGGATGTGCTCACTCCCGGGTGGCATGCTGAGCACAAGATGGGGGACACATGCGGAGGCCCCACGCGCAGTGACCTTGTTGAGCTTGGAGTAGTCGATGAGGTCCGGCCGGTGTCTGTGGATTAGGGCGCAGAGACCCAGGCCGTCCTTCCAGCTTCACAAACGAGGAGCAGAGGCCCGTGGTTAATGGGGAGAACCCAGTAGTGGGTGGCCGCTGGAGCACCCCACTTCTCACCGGCACCCACTGCAAATCCCCACTCCCTGCCCTTCCCAGGTGGGATGGGTTTGGAGGTCCCCTCCTCCCGCTGGGGGTGTGGACGCCATCTTGAATGGACTGTGACACAATGCTGGGTTCTGGGGCGGAAGGGGACCCTTCTGGAACACAGAAAACTGGCCCCCATCTGGGGCAGCAGGAGGAGAGCATGGAGGGGCTGTGGGCCAGTCAGGGGGCGCCGCCATGCCCCCAAGCCCAATCAGCTCCGGGGCTGGGCCCGCTCTGGCTCACCAGGCCCAGCTCAGGGCATCTGTGAAGGCAGAGGCTCCTCCCAGCCTTGTCCTCCCTCCCTCCCTCCCTCCCGCTACCGACAATTCACAGAAAACAGCCTGTGTGGCAAACACAGGCTGCACTCCAGCCAGGCCGGGTTCCTCTACCTGTCCCCTGTTGCCTTCCAGTGGGATCTCCCTATTTCTCATTACTCAGAGAGTCCCAGCCAGTGTCAGGAGGGGGGGAGGGGTTGTCTGTGGAGCTGGGGAGAGGAATCTCACACATGTGGGCTCCTGGGAGACAGGCAGGGCACCCCCTCGCCTCCGGGCCGGTGCTTGCCTGGTGTGGAAGTTCTGGATGTTCACGTTTCTGTAAGGGGCCGTCTTCCGCTGACACCACAGCAGCAGCCCTTCTTTGGCAGATGTCTCTGCAAGACAGACAAGAAAATTGTCCAGGAGGGAATTCTGACCTCCTAGCTCACTTGATTCCCATTTGCTTTCAAAGCACACCTCCCAGCACCCCAGCACCATCTCCACAAGCACCGAGAGCCAGGACTCTGATCCCATGGACTTCTTTGGGGCTTGCATTTAGGGTTTTCAGGCTCGTGCTGGGCTGTCTGGCTCACAGCTGATGCTCTATCATCTGAGCCACACCTCTACTTCCAGCTTTTTGCCGGTTATACGGAGGTAATTCTCTCTGATTTGTATGCTCAGGCTGGCTTTGGACCTCAATTCTCAGACCTCAGTCGTCTGAGTAGCGAGGACTATAGCAAGGACTATATACCAGTGAGTGTCTGGCTTCCAGAGACAAACACCTGGTAACACTTAAGGAATTTCAAAAGGATAGTGTAAAAGCAAACGCAGGTTAGACATTAAAAAACAAAAACTGAAGCCAGACTTCAGAATGAGTAGTAACTTTGTATCTTTTTTTTATTTATATTTATTTTTTGTCTGAACTCTGGGCCTGGGTACTGTCCCTCAGCTCTTTAGCTCTAGTACTCTACCACCTGAGCCATAGCACCACTTCCAGCTATTTTTTTCTGCTTATGTGGTGCTGAGGAATTGAACCCAGGGCCTTATACATGCATATATACTCTACCACTGAGCCACCTTCCCAGCCCTGTATCTTTAAAGTGAAAATAATAGAGCCTGGCGCTGGTAGCCTGCACCTGTAATCCTAGCAACTCAGGAGGCTGAGAAGTGAGGATTGTGGTTTGAAGCCAGCCAGAGCAGGAAAGTCTGTGAGACTCTGATCTCCAAGAAACTACCAAAAAAGCCAGAAGTGGAACTGTGGCTCAAGTGGTAGAGCACTAGCCTTGAGCAAACAAAGCTCAAGGACAGTACCCAGGCCCTAAGTTCAAGCCCCACAACTGGTCCCAAAAAACCCAAAATCCCAAATTTATACAAAAAATTTTAATTCAGACTATTAATTCAAGCTGGCTGTCATTCCTGAGCCTCAATTAATGTTTTAATCTCACTATGTCATGGTTGGATTTTTAGCTGACATAAATGGGTCTCTGGTGCTAAAATTGGAATTTTGTATGTGAATTCGAATTCCCCCTGAGGGCAAGAAGATGTCAGGCTTCCTGTCACCCAGCAAAACAATAGGCAAAGTGCTGGTTATTCATGTTTGCCGGTTGGTGAATAACTTAAAATCACCCCAAACGGGCTTGGCAGGCGAGAGTACAAACAACACCCCACCTTTCACACTCAGGTGATGTGGGAGGTTAAAAAGGGAAGGGCCGGGGCTGGGAAGGTGGCTCAGTGGTAGAGCGCTTGCCTTGCAAGCTTGAGGCCCTGGGTTCGATTCCTCAGCACCATATAAGCAGAAAGAAAAAAGCCGGAAGTGGTGCTGTGGCTCAAGTGGTAGAGCGCTAGCCTTGAGCTGAAAAGCTGAGAGACAGCGCCCAGGCTCAGAGTTCGGGCCCCACAACCGGACCCAAAAAAAAAAAAAAAAAAAGGGAAGGGCCTTGTGCCCTTGCTTGGTTCTTCACTCGAGGCTGGTGCTCTATCACTTGAACCACACCCCTACCTCTGGCTTTTTGCTGGCTAATTCGAGGTAAGAGTCTCATAGACTTTCCTGCCTAGGTTGGCTTTGAACCTTAATCCTCAGATCTGTCTTCTGAGGAGGGAGAGGAAAACTTAGAAGAGCTCTGTCAGTAGTTGTGAACTTACTCATATAATGGGTAAAGGAGCTTCATAAATGTTTGTGGGGGAAGGGGGTGCGTGCCAGTCCTGGGACTTGAACTTAGGGCCTAGACACTGTCCCTGAGCTTTTTTGGTCAATGCTAGCACTCTACCACTTGAGTCATAGCTCCACTTTTGGCCCTTTTTTTGGGTGGGGGGGAGTGAAGGGTTAATAGGAGTTAAGAGTCTCACAGAGTTTCCTGCCCAGGCTGGCTTCAAACTGCGATCCTCAGATCGCAGCCTCCTGAGTAGCTAGGATGACAGGCGTGAACTGCGGGGCCCAGCTAAATGCTCATGGCTAAAAGCAACTGCTGCTCTGCACATGCACTCCTCTTCCAAAAGGACCCCATAGCCGTGACCAAAAAGGGCGCCACGGTCTTCCCCAACCACACATCAAACCTTCCACTACTCATCTTCCACGCCCGACATTCTCGGAGGCCCCCCGACTGCCACACCCACACAACATCACGAGACCCTCAGCAGTGCCCTTCACCTTCCACAGAGATGTCCTGGATGGCGAAGCGGAGGATGATGGTCCAGATCATGCCGAGAGTCATCTTCACATTGCCGTCCACGATTTCTGCAGGGGAGAGACAGATGGCCCTGTGAGCCCAGCCTTCCCCAGCAGACTCTGCCTTCCACTACCACCCAGCTGACACGAATTCTGGATTCATCAGGACCACAGATCTGCATGTGCCTTAAGCCAGATAGCTGAAAGCCATCTGACTTGTGGCCTTATGACAACAGGAGCCCAGGTCTCAAGTGATCAAATAGAAAATGGCCTCATGGGTTCCCTGATCCTTCCTAACACCCTTCCCACGGGGGAAGAATCCCAACTCCTGGGGATCCCCAGGTACTCAACACCACCCTCACGTCAAGAACAAGGCCGCTTCCTTTCTAGAAATCACTTCTGCTGAAGAGCCTCTTGCTCCTGTGGGTCTGACTCCATCCAAATACCCCGTGCCTCCGCACCGGCGTGCATGCTCTGCGTCCAGCAGGGGGCAATGTGGGAAGCACGGGAGAGGGCAGAGGAAGAGCGCAGGGCAGCCCCGCCAGGGACCCCTCACCTTCCGCCCCGATGGACACCAGCTTCACCCCCTTGCTGGCTATGTAGTCCAGGGCTTTGTTGACGTTGGCGATCTTGTGGAAGCGCATTTTGCCCCGGTCGGGTTTGGGCAGCCTCTCACCTGCAGGACAAGAAAACCAACATGCCAAAACTTGGGGAGAGAGGGCTGCTCCCTAACATGGCTCCAGTTTCTAGAACTCACAGGGGAATGGACACGTACTCAGGACCCATCTGAGCTGGTAAAGCTGCCAGGACCACTGAAGACACTTGGCTAGGAAGATACAGGTCAGGACAAACTTCCCCTGCCCTCCCCACAGCCCCATCAGCCAACTGAACCCAACTCAACCAACATGCCGAGTCATGTCTGTACCTACACTGACCTTCGGCTACTTGCAGACTAGGCATGGACTGGAGTGAGTGGATAGGACAGTGGGATGGGTAGTCACAGACTTGGTATTTTTTTCTCTCTTCTTTTGTTTTCAGGGGTGGAGGGGGGATAGAAATATTATTTTAGCTGAGCACCAGTGGTCACACCTGTCATCCTAGCTACTCAGGGGGCTGAGATCTGAGATTCACAGTTCAAAGCCAGCCCGGGCAGGAAACTCCATGAGATTCTTATCGCTAATAAACTTCCAGAAAACCCAAAGTGGTGCTATGGCTACAGTGGTAGAGCACTAGCCTTGCTCTGAAGAGCTGAGGGACAGTGCCTAGGCCCAGAGTTCAAGGCCCATGACCAAAAAAATATATTATTTTAATAAGTCCATTTTTAACAGAATCTGTCCCTTTGTTTAGAACTGAAAAGGACCTGCAGGCAGGTTCCAGCGACCCGTGTTTTCGGCTGGCCTGGTTCAGAGGGGACTCCATGCTGCCACCTTTAGGCTGTGGCCCCTCCCTTCTCCCTCCTCATGTGTGTGTGTGGGGGGGGGGAGATGGGCACACCCACCTGAGATGACCTCCAGCAGCAGCATGAGCTTCAGGCCATTCCGGAAGTCCTCCTCGATGTTCTCAATCTGGGTGCCAGCTTTGCGCAGGTGGGAGTTGCACCAGGCAGTGAAGGTCTGCAGGGAGAAGCAGGCACTGCTGAGCAGCCATGGCCGCCTGGCCCCATCCCAGGACAACAGGCCACGGGGTCACAGGTCGTGGGGTCACAGGTCACGGGGGGGCAGGCCACACTGCCTGTGCATTTCCACCCACAGGAGGCGGAAGAGCATGGCAATAAAACTTGGAGACCCAGAGCCAAGAGCTTGGCCTAGAGCTAGGCACTAGTGGCTCACGTCTATCATCCTAGCTACTCAGGAGGCTGAGATCTGAGGCAGACTGGGCAGGAAAGTCCATGAGACTCTCATGTCCCATTAACTAGAAAAATGCCCGAAATGGAAGTGTGGCTCAGGGGACAGAGTATCAGCCTTGGGTGGGGGTGGGGGGCGCAGGGGGAAGCCAATGGAGAGCCCTGAGTTCAAGCCCCACCAATGGCACCAAAAAAACCAAAAGTACTCCTCTTTTGAGACAAAGTCATTCGTTTGCCTTACAACTTGAAGACACTCTGTCTTTTCAAGGGTGGCTGTGTTATAGCACTACCTCCACCTTCTAAAGAGCCTCTTTTTTGGGGGAGGGGGTCCGATCGTGGGGCCTGAACTCTGGGCCTGGGCGCTGTCCCTCAGCTCTTCAGCTCAAGGCTAGCACTCTACCACTTGAGCCACAGCGCCACTTCTGGCTTTTTTTCTTTTTGCTTATGTGGTGCTAAGGAATCGAACCCAGGGCTTCACGCATGCAAGGCAATTACTCTACCACTGAGCCACCTTCCCAGCCCTAAAGAGCCTCTTGAAGCAGAGAGATGACGTGAAGATGGGCTTTACTTCCTGCTCAACAAAAATGAGCTTGCCTGCAGAACAATGCATAAGTAATGTCTTTCTTTAGAAGAGAGGGTGGGCGATGCTCCCGTAGCAGAAAGGCAGAGGGGGGGGGGACTCATAGCTACTAATTACCAACAAGGAGTTTACCTCCCATGAGCAACAGTTTTCAACTCTTAACTAAATTAATTAATCACTTGAAAACAACAACAATAATTGTAGCCTCTTACTAGCTTATTCCAGGTATCTAGCTAGACCCTAGATTCTAAACAGGACCAGAGATAGCCCAGCTCCTGACGGCACAAGCCTCAGTGGACAGCACACTATGTTAGTGGCACCCAAAGCCCTTCTGTGTGTTGCTCAAGCTAACTTTAAACAGCGTCCACTGCTGTACTATTTCCTGCCAAACCCAGATTGGAGATGCTTCTGGCAGCTGCTGGCTAAGACTGGAAACTGTCTCCTTGTCTCCCAACAGCTGCGAGGCCCAGGAACAAAGTGACTGGCATGTTAAACTGGGGTCAGGAACAGGCAAGGGACACACAAACAGGGTTTGAGTTCAAATTGACAGAGCCAGCCTCTCAAAAGGTGTGGCTTCCAACTAAGACAAGAAAAGGACCACGTGACCAAGTACGGCAGCACATACCTATATTCTCAGCACTCAGGCATTCAGGAGGTAGGAAGAGCTCCATCTGAGTCTAGCCTGGGCTACGTAGAAAGTTCAAAGCTGGCTTTAGCTATACCACGAGACACTGTCTCAAAAATGAACAATTTAAAAAAGACCAAATATCCACCAAAATGATTTTCCTGGTGTAATAAAAAAGATTCTCAAACCAGTCCCTCATTACAAGAAATATCTGACAGCAAATCAGTTCCACGGCAGAAAGAAAATGTAGGTATTTTCTGGGATTTAAGTAACTTTTTCCTGACAGCCAGTACAGTAATTATTCCTAAAACACATGTGAACTTTCAATAGGCTCAAAGCAGGGAATACTAGATCCATAACAGTCAATGTGGCAGCCTCTAGCTGTAAGACACTGTTTAAGTTTAAGTTAAAGTGAAACTACATTAAAAAGAGCCCCTGAATTCCACAGGCCTCTTTCCAATGCTCAGGGACTCTACGTGAGCCTGTGTAGCTACAGAAAAGTCCCTGTGACCAAAAATGTAATGGGACATCAGTGCTCTGAAAACAGATGGCTGTTTGGAGAAGGCAAGGTTACTGTAAGACTACAGCTTCATGCCAGGCACCGTGACTCACAACTATAATCGTAGCTACTCAGGAGGTTGAGATCTGAGGATCAAAGCCAGTCCGAGAAAGAAACTCCGTGAGACTCTCATCTCCAATAAACCACCAGAAAGGGCTGGGAAGTTGGCTCAGTGGTAGAGCGCTTGCCTTGCATGCATGAGGCCCTGGGTTCGATTCCTCAGCACCACATAAGCA